ATATATATATATATATATATATATATATATATATATATATATATATATATATATATATATATATATATATATATATATATAATTGAACACAATACAAAATGACTACTAAAATTTTACTATCTACAAGAAAAAGAAAATACAACACACATCTAAATGTGCACTGATTATAGATAAAGACTCGAGCAACCCATATATAATCAAAACAACCATAGTGAACTAGTGCATTCGATACGGAAAAACAAGGAACTTTTTAAATACCACTCACTTCATTATTTTGATATGACACAATTTTTTTTTAGTGTTTAAGTTTAAAAATAAATATGTTATTCTAAAAATTAAGATTGAATAATCAAAAAATTAGACGATTCGGTTTTAGTACTCTGAACCACTCATTCATTTGAGGTTGATGAAATAAATACAAATTAAAAGGTTGTTAAAATGAAAAAAGCAAGATAATAAAGCGCTGGCAGGGCCAACGGCTAGTTTTTGAAGAGGACGGTCCAACGGTCAATAACACAAGCCTAAAGTGTCGGCAAATTTGAATTCGAGACAGTGTGTGCCTGTTTTGTATGGCCCAAAACCCGACAAAATTCGGACCTTTGAATTATCACTATTAATAAATAAGTACCTACTTGGCTGCTTTTCTCTTTAAAATGAGATATTATTTAAATAATAAGAAAGAAGACCAAGTGCCCTTGATAATCAATCAATAAATAAACAAATAAGGATGCTCTAAACCGTATAATTTTTAATACTTATTTCAATTAAATATATAATTTGTTTTGTTCAATTAAACCAGCTAGCTTTTTTATGATTCAACCACCAATGGATTAAATTAATATCTCATCCTTATCTTTGTTAGCTCTGTGTACCCTTAAAATTGGATAACAATTAAACTTATTAGTGATTTTAAGATATATGATTTCACATGGCACAAACTGAGAAACATGAGAATTAATGTTAGAAATTAACTGTAAAATAAGCAAACCAATGTAATGAGCAGTTATAGCCTTTGAACTAGATCGCCCTCGAACCAATCAGAGTATGTCAATAAAAAGTATGAACCGAACAACATAGCTTAAGAGAGAAAATGTGTTGTATTGCTTTGTTATGCGTGAATATAATAATCATTACAAAATGATTAGAACCCTTTTTTATATAGTAGAGGAATTCTACTTATGGTACAATTCTAAATCTAGAAGGAAATCTCATGATTGGCTAAATGTCTGGTCTTGACTCGATACGTGCCGAGATTTCCGCCACGATCCTTGCCCGATCACAGATATCTCGGCCTTTTGTTATTCGGTTTAGCAGGCTTTCTTCGATCTCATTATGTCTCTGTCTCGCTTCGGTTCGATCACGGCTGGTCTCGATTTTGATCGATCACCGACTCATGAGCTTAGCAATCTATCTCTGTGTCACGGTTCGATGCAATGCGAGGTCGAGCTTTGGTCTGTCACCCCGATTTTGATTAGCCATACAAAATTAGGGAAGTCCGATTCTAACCGTATATAAGCTCTCTTTCTTAATGGTAATCAGATTTTCGTGTCACTATAATTACTTCAAATTTATTACTTTTGGAGATTTTCATGAAAAACACAAATTTATATTTTTTTGCACTAACTTATACATCTAGTTTTTTTTAATGTAGAATTATCCTTTGAACTTGGGTGATGTTGAGGAGTGCTCCATTTACCAAAGCTCCATACTACTCGAATGTTTATTTTCACATATACATGTATGTTTTATGCTATAAATTTTAGGTCGAGATTTATACAAACTGACATAGATACTATTGACAAATGAAAGCATATATTTAAAATTATGAGAAATTTCCTTAAAAGCTGAAATTTTAGAAAGTACAAGCTACCCAATTATTTGTTCATGAATGGACCTACAAACATAGAGGCAGTTTTTTCAATGGAGTGACATAATGGCCATGCCAACTATTGTATATATCCCTATTGAATTGACAAATAATTGTTCTTAGGCCTAGCAATTTATTGGAAAATTTCAAATTTAAAAAGCTCATTATAATTTAGGTTGGATTATAGACATAAGAGGGTTATATTACTAAGAAGCTTTCTTGAGATTCTCGAGTAATTACAAAATGCTAGCTCATGTGGTTCCTCTATAGTCTATACACAAAGGCGGGAGTAATTTTTTATAATTTCCCTCAATTATTAAAGAGTTAAATATAATTTATTTTAAATCTCAAGAAAAAAAAAAAGAGACACAATGAAAAAAACATGCTAGTAGAAAAAGTATAAAATCCAATATAATCACTTTCCTATTAGATTTATAGCATGAAAAATAAAAAATAAAACGTTAGACCGATTATCACTAAACTAACACAATTTTATAAAATATAACTTAACTAGTAATGTTTTTAAAAAATAGTGAAAGTTCCTCGTAAACTAAGATTGAATTCGAAATATCATAAATACGTAAACTAATGTTGTTACTACATTAATTGAGAATTTATATATTTCTCCAATATAACACATTTTCATAAGCATAATCCGATGTCATATGGTACTTTTAAAGTTAAATTTTAATAGTTCTACATTTTTATTATTAAATTTGTCATAATACGCTCGAATAGCGTCATGTTTCAGTTGAGAACTTAGATTAGTAATGGAGTCTAATGGTTATGATTTTATTACCAGTAGTATTATATTGGGTTTGTTATTGTTGTTGGTTACGATTTCACTTAACCAATGTGGATAAAAGAATGATGAAAAAAAAAATGGAAACAAATTTAAATTTCATCAAATATATTATCATTCTTTTTTCACAAGTCTACCTCTAAAATTAAAAGAAAAAATATTTTTTCATTATCCTCATTTTATGGTACATATGTTTCAATTTACTCTGTCCCATAAGTTAATACTTTTTATATTTAAAAATAACTTGATTTTAAATTTACTATTTTATGTGATTTATAACTAATGAGATTTACGACTTATTTAAGATTAAGAATTTAATTTTTTTTATTAAAAAATGTTATGTATCGAATCAAATAATATTACATAAACCGATTTTATATACCTATTCTGTGTTACAACTTACAACGAACCCTCTCCTCTCTGGACTTTGTTGGCATGTAACGTACATATATCAATGAAGATTGGCTCTTTAATCCATTCATCAATGATTTATTAAAAGCCATCCCTTTCTGGATTTTGTGGGTGTTATTTCAACTAGGGAAATCGAAATCAAATAGACCCACTACTCCTCTAAATCCCCACACCCATCTCTCTCTTTCTCTCTCCTCAATCGGAAGGTATTTTTTTTCCCATCTGGGGTTTCTCTTTCTCTCTCTAGAATTCTGTTTCTTGCACTATCTTGATGCCTGTTGTTGTGTTAAAATTCAATCTTGATTATCGGTACCTGATTCTTGACTTGGGACTGATTAAAGATTTGATTTTTAGAATTGGGTTTTCCATTTCTTGGATTCTTTTCAGATCGGTGCTTTATCTGATTTTAATTGTAAAATGGGACTTTTTTTTGTATGTAAAGTTCTTTTCTTTCATGGTTGGACTTGTGTTTCTGGTTTAATTGTCAAGATAGGATCTTTTTACTTGACTAATTAGGTTTTCACTTGCTGTGAAGATTCCAATATATTTGTATTTGTGTCTTTTACAGTTTTACTGACTCTTTATGTGCTTATCTTGGTGCATTTGGGATATGTGTTAATAGCAAAATTGGGTTTTAATTTGACTCAAAGTGGCTATAGAAAAGTATATCAAGTCTTGACTTTGGTTGTGATAAGCAATAAACCTTTTAATCTTCGATCTTCTTTGTTTGTGAGATTATGTAATTTCTATTCTCCCCACTTCACCTTACTAGGGTTTTTAGTTTGTATTTGAAATTGAATTTGATAAAGTCTTTGGACTATCTTTTACTGTATCTGCTATTCGATGGCGATTTGATCTTGTGCGAACATGGTTAGGCATATAGGATTTTGGCACTGATTTATTCTTGTGGAGTTATTGTCTCAACATGAGGTTTCCATCTGAAAATATCTGCTCTGGTTATTGGTTCCATGGTGCTCAACTTTTGGCTAGGAAATATATCATTATCTGAGCAATGTCGTTACATTTGACATTACGCTGAAACTAGTCAATCTACCATATCTGATGATGTTGCTGTCCTGATTGTGAAGGGATTTTTCTTTTTTGTAGTTGAACATTATAAATAATCAAGAATAGGTATACCGATAATCAAGATTCTATCGAGCTTATTAACAAAATAGGTATGCCGTAGGCTCATAGGAAATTTTTGTGCTACTAGGTAGATAGTGTAAGTTCAGAAAGCTAGAGCTGAATGTCTGATTGGAATAGTCAAGTGTAGTATTTCATCTCGAGTATCACAAGAGATATTATTTCACTTTTTGTCTAATTGTATTGACTAATACGAATAAGAGAAGTCTATGAACTTTTGTGGTTCTCAGACACATGTTATCTGCATCTGGTGGATTAGCACAAGGTGGATCGTTTTGAACAGCTCTTTAGTTGCTTGTGTCTTATGATTGTTTGAACGAATCTTGAAGGATTGTATTCTGATGATCTTTTTCTGGCCCTTTTGCAGGATCCAATAATAAGTTGATTGTCTTCAACATCTGAACTACCAGCAAAAACTACTTGCGTGCAGTTGCCAACTGATCCTAGGATTATACTTATATTTGGCTATGGTATTTAATCAAATTCAATATGTTGCTATTACTAGGTTTCTTGATGTCATTTTCTCCCTATGTGCAAGTGAAATTGTTCTTACTTTTTCCTTATGCCATCTGTCAATTGATATTCTCCTTAATTTGGTGTGGCATAGGCAACTAATGAAAATCTCCCACCAAACGTGATAAAACAATTGGCAAAGGAATTGAAAAATCTTGATGAAACTCCTCCCGAAGGCATCAAAGTAGGTGTAAACGATGATGATTTTTCAACCATATATGCGGATATCGAGGGCCCAGGTATGGTGTCTTTGTTGTCTATATTTCAGTTTTTGAGACACAACAGTTGTTCTAATTGCTCTATCACTACATGCAGCTGGGACTCCTTACGAGAATGGGGTTTTCCGCATGAAGTTGATTTTGACGCACGATTTCCCTCATTCCCCGCCCAAAGGTTTGTCTCTACATGCAATGTTTTTAAGTTTTTCCTGTGACATGCTTTTGTAGTCTTTTACTTGTATCTAATTTAGCTTTGCATTAGCTTTTGTTTTAATCAGTTGGGCCCTGTATTAATCACAATTGAAGCGCCTTAGTCGTATTTTCCCCTTCATTCCTTTGTTTTAGGACTTTCCTTTTGCAAGCTCTTTTTTTTTTTTCCGTGATAAGTTACAATTGCTAGTTCTTTAGGGAAGATCTTTGTCACTTTTCATGACATATTTCCGGAACAGTTACCTTTTGCCAATGCTTAGGCCCAGTATGGACGAGCACATATAACTTACATTTTTTGTTTATCTCTCTAGGTTATTTTCTGACCAGGATTTTTCATCCCAACATTGCTTCCAATGGCGAAATTTGTGTCAATGCTCTGAAAAAAGATTGGAATCCTAATTTGGGCCTACGACATGTTCTCATGGTAAGTTTCTGCTTCTTCTAAGTCAAATATCGAGCCTGCCTAGATGACTTTAATAATATAAGTGTGAACTGACCTTTTCCTTTCTTTGATTTGTTATTTTGCTGTGGTCGCTGCTTTGTATTAGGTGGTAAGGTGTTTACTGATCGAGCCATTTCCAGAATCTGCATTAAATGAGCAAGCTGGTAAAATGCTGCTTGATAATTATGACGAGTATGCTAGACATGCAAGGTAAGTTAGTGTCACTTCATTATGTCACACTTGTACGATTTTATCACATTCTTATCTGGTATTACTCTGACTTGCTTAATTATCCTGTATCTAAATGCCATTTTATTTTCGGAGAGAACATGATTTTGTCGTGCTTAAGTTGTATCTTATTTTTGTGGATTCATGGAATGATGCTACCGTTAATTTTGATGACATGGTTGAAACTGGGGATGCAAATAGGAATTGATCATACATCTATCCAGTATTAATCAATTTATGATGACCAAAAAAGCGAATCACAACTCAGGCTCATTTCTCTTTGTAGATGTAAAATGTGACAAGGAGGATGAAGTGCCATAAAATTACCTTCTATCAAGTGTTATGAATTTTCATGATATGCTAGACTGCTTAGGATTTTAATGTTTTTAAGCCAGCAGTATCTTTGTATTTTTACAGTATCAGCTTGATACTGTTTTTAATAAAATCTTCACCTTATCAAAAAAAAGTGTTTGTAGGCATAAACCTGGAATTCCTGCTCGTAAATCCAACGGCTAAGTTGCATAGGGACTTTAAACCACTGTTGCTCACTAGCATGGCTTATGTGTTTGTGGGGAATATTGTTTCGATATAACTTATGACTAGCTACCTTTTGTAGTTTAAACCACTGTTTCGATTGCCGAATGTACTACTTACTCACCGTCCAATGTTCCTCTGTGTTTAAACATGCAGGCTTTATACCAGTATTCATGCTAAACCAAAGACTAAGTTAAAAACAGGAGTTATTTCCGAGTCTACTACAGCCCTAAATGTTGGCCAGACAAATACTTCACTGTGTAACGTTGATCAGAAGACTGCAATATCTGGAGTTACACCTCTCCAACAGCCTTCTCCATTAGCCCCTACAGCTAACATTGTAAAAGGTGGAAACAGTCTAGACCAGCCGCCAGCCCCCGGTTCAACTGCGGACACAGCGGTTAGTGGGTCAGCAGCACCACCATCGGTAACCCTGAAGAAGGAAGCTGGATTGCATAAACTCCCTGCAGATAAAAAGAAGATTGATGCGAGAAAGAAAAGCTTGAAGAGATTATAACTTGTTTTAATGGGGGGACTAAATCTTATTTTCTTTTTGGTTGCTTTTATTTGATAGATGAAAGAAACAGTTCTGCAGAACTGAGCTTGTATTATGTCCTGATAAATGAAATGGACTATTTGAGTTGTTCCTTTCAAGTTTTATGGTTACATTGTCAGTCTTGAAATTTTTTTGTTCAAAATTTGAAGTCTGTAGTTTGCAATGGTTGCAACTCAATCAGGCAATTGTAAGTTATAATAACTTGTGGTCGAAGTTGCATCCGATTAAAAAGGGGGATTTGGAATATGAAATTATGTTGTTTATCGATTATCTTTTTTGTAACCAGAAGCGGGCAATATATACATGTTTCCTTTTTGTTACAAGGAAAAGATTATCTTAATCCTTAAACAGTGCATAAACCTATACTTTTCTCCTCCTTTCCAGCTGAATAACTTGTCAAAGGGGGGAAACAGAAGAGAAAAACGGTTTCTCATTGTGATGATAAAGTGCTTAGCTTATCACCTTCTTTCTATCACTAAATCAAGTTTTAATACTTGGAAATTAACATCGATCCCAAAGATGAAATTGATAGACGTTGGAAAAAAAAAAAGGCTGTCCGATGTACTAAGCTCCAGCTATGTGCGGGTCCCAAGAAGGGCCGGACCACAACGGTCTATTTTATGCAGCTTTGCCTTGCATTTCTGTAAGAGGTTGTTTTCACGGTTCGAAAATTTAACACTATTTACGTATCAACTTGAAGTGACAGTTTTGAAACATCGACTGCAAGTTTAACCAAAGATTCTTTATTAGCTTCAATTTTAACCAATAGATTCTTTAATCACAAGTGTTATCAACAAAAACCAGAAACCTCAAAGAAGATTACCATTTAATTCGCGGAAACAACAGCACAGTAATGCTGATAAAGGAAATGCATTCATCAATTAAGAGAAGAAGAAGAAGAAGAAGAAAGATACTCCACCACTCTTACAATAAAGCACTACATTCATTCCAGGTCCAATACATCCAGATGGTACAACGAAACACATTACACTAGGCAAATCCTATCCCAATGAATTATTTTTGGATTTTCACATTTTTAACAAGTCTAAACTTCAACTTCAATAGAAGATGGTGAAATTACTTGGCCATCATGACCTTAACAAACTCCTCATAGTTAATTTGGCCATCACCATCGACATCTGCTTCCCTAATCATCTCATCAACTTCTTCATCAGTAAGCTTCTCCCCAAGGTTAGTCATCACATGACGAAGCTCAGCAGCGGAGATGAAGCCATTTTGATCCTTGTCGAACACTCTGAACGCCTCTTTCAGTTCCTCCTCGGAGTCAGTATCCTTCATTTTCCTGGCCATGAGGTTTAGAAACTCAGGGAAGTCAATGGTTCCGTTACCATCTGCATCCACCTCGTTTATCATGTCTTGGAGCTCTGCTTCGGTGGGGTTCTGTCCCAGCGACCTCATCACAGTCCCAAGCTCCTTAGTCGTGATGCAACCTATACAAAACTTCACAATTACCCTACTATACGAAAAATACTTAACAAAACACATTTCTAACCATAACATTGGGTCAGTAAGCTACTTCCCAATTCAAACAGACATAAGAAAACAGTAGATGCACCACCTTCCAACTTATGTCCAGAAAATATCAAAGCTAAACGATCAATTCTGGGTAACTTATAAGCCCGAACCGATAATAAAAATAACAAAATCTTTGTTGATTAAATAAATCCAAATATACAAATCAGACGCCCTTTTTTAATCGTAACCCAGTAAATAAATTCAGAAGATAAAGTTTTCAACCATCTCACTAATCAGAATCTCCAAGTAGACACCAGAATCAGCAGTGCACCACACAAACGGATAACTATACTAAGAAGCTCCCTCAATTAATGTTACTTGTATTTATATTTAAGGATCACAATAACATGAACTAGCATAACCAGTTCCAAAGTGGTAAATTACAAACAAAACTGCTCAGAATTCACATAACAGCTAAAAACGAATCCCCCCACGAGAGAACTAACATCATCCCTGACATACCATTCTTCCTCAAACAAATCTGTTGCCAGAATTTATATCACTCTAATTTGGCACAAACAGAACGCAATATCTGCTCTTGTTTAACATCATAGTCTAAAAAGAAGAAAATGATTTCCTTCACTATGGGGAAAAACATGCTCCTTTATAAATATATCATCTCTTTACGTTACTCGTCCAACCAATACTAAGACATTATTATCAATCGTTAACACAAGATCTGCATCAAATTTTCAATGCAAAACACTATCCATAATTGATGACACTATTATCAACCTTAAATAAATAATTTCCATTTGAAAACATTTACCACAAATAATATTTTGAGGAAAGCCTTTTCCTTCCTACCAAAAGACAATTGTTCCTCCAAACCAAAATCAGTTCAAACAAAGCCCGCCATAGATTTAGAAAGGGATTTTTGGCAGCATTTAAAACAAGCTAAAACCACAAGGTAAAGGCCAACTCTATCATCAAAATTAGATTATTTCTCCTTCTACCCCTAATCCAATTCAATTTACTCAACTTCTCGAAATGTCTCTTAATTAGTTTTCAAAAAATACAATAATCCATCAAAGTAACATCAAACTACAAGATTTCCATGTTCACTAGTTTTTTAGCATTTCTTCAAGCAAGGAGAGCAATTATTCCCTGTTAACCGAGTTAACATTTCTCATATATCAATCTGACACCTTAAAAACCAAACACCAAAAGGGACTAACACCTCAGAATCAATCAATTTATTAAAACCAAACGTCAGATCTGAAAATAAATTTGATCATACACATGCCTATATAAACATCAAACACAAAATATATACTCCTTTTGTACTAATTTATGTGTCACACTTTATTTTTTTTTAAGTTTTTCGCGCAAAGATTGATACATTTACGTATCTAGAAACAATTTCATCTTTAAAATTACCATTTTACCTTTGATAAGACATTTATAGTGACAAAATGAGATATTTATAGCCACAAAAATGTAAATTTCATATTTTAGATCACAAGTTTAAAAAAAAAAATTATTTCTTAATATCATCACATAAATTGGACATGGGCAGAGAGAGAAAGAAAATCGAACCATCTCCGTCCTTATCGAATAGGCTGAAGGCCTCCTTGAACTCAGAGATCTGGTCATCGGTTAGCTGATCCGCCATTTTCTTCTTCAATTCAACTACAGAGAAAACTTAAGAGAGAAGATTGTTCTGGAATTTCAGACACAATAATCGTCTTTTCAATTCACTTCGATTTCGGAACTATGGGATTATTGCTACTTTTATACCAATGACTACAATTTCTATGCTAAATAGAATAAGTAAAAAAAATAGAAAGAAAGAATTGGATTAAAGAAGAATAAATAACAAAATAAGTAAAGACTTGTCTCTCTCCCTACATTATATGCGGACGTGATCGGTTTATTTGTTTCAATGTTTCCGGTTTTCCCGCTTTGCCCTTATTGCCATAATGTAGTAATAAATATAGTTTAGAAAATTATCTTATATAAAGCAAAAATTAATGATATTTATCCATCTTAATAAACTTATTTCACTTACTAAACCTCAATTTGTGCGATTTCACTTATAGTTTGGAAGTGTATGTTCTAAGACTTTGAGGAATATACAAAAATAAATAAAGTTGCAAACTTTGTCGCTTTAAAATGCTTATAAGAATTTTAAATTTTTGAGAAGTAAATTAAGACAAATATTTAATTTGGCGTAGATCAAACAATATTCTTAAGCGAACTTTCGTATATAATATAAATAATACTTGATAATTTCAATTGGATACTTGGTTGATATTTTTTTTATATTTTATTAGTTAATTTTTAATCAGTATGCACTCACTTTATTTCAAGAATATAAAACAGTCTTTTTCTAAATTTTAGTGGATTAATTATGGCAACAAATATTGTACTACTCTACCAAAGTGTATATTAGACAATTAAAAATAACTAAAAGCACTTTCAACTTTTTGAGTTATGTCAATCTCTTTTTAGCAAGTTGGTATTATATCAACCTATGGAATTAAATTCTCTCTCCATTACATATATAGATGATTCTTCTATTATTATATAGAATTCAAAGAAATAGACCACAAATAAGTGTTGATAGCATCTCTTTAACCAGTTTGATTTTATTGTTGAAGTGCGCAAGAAACAAGATAACTTGTATCCATCCCCTTTATGGTAATATCTCATCAAATGTATCATTGATTTTATCAATCTTTTCGAACACCATAGATTTACTTAATAAATAATCAACCACTACTTTTTTTATTAAAAAAAAATAATCGGAAATGTAAAAGCTGTTCTGATCTCTTCAAAATATTACTCCTATTATCAAAGGGGTAAAACGGTAAACTCAAAAAGCAAGTCAAACATAAAGAAACAAAAGAAGTGTACGAACTAGTGTCATGTGGTTCCATCATTAGATCGCACATCATCTCAGTGACCACTTATTGTGTGCCACGTGTATTCAGATTTTCTCATTTTTTTCTTAATTTCAATTTCTATCTTTTCTAAAAACAATAGAAAGGCAAAAGAATAAAAGAAAAAGGCCCATTTTTCTCTCTCTTCCATTAGACAAAACGCGGTTACGCGTTTCTTACGCGGTATGCTTACGGTGACCTAAAACGAAGGGTGGCTGCTACGTAGGATTATGTCGTTTTCGCTTTAATTGGACAAAAAGAAAGAAATAAACTCTCCCTTGCAGGCTTGCACCCCCGAACTTATTCATATTTACTGATTCTCCCCCTCTCTTAACTTTCTTTTTTTAGTAATACAACTCTTCCTTTGTTTTTTGGTTTTCTCATTGCATTATGTTTACCTCGAAATACGAGTTACAATTAATTTTAATTTTTAGTTTTAAAGATACGTGATTAGGTTCAATACCAATTAATAATCAAGAAATATGAGTAAAAATGAAAGAGACAAGTGAATCAAACTAATGTTGCTTGACAGCGGCGACCTCGAGCTTAGTGACCTCGAGGTGGGCTTAGAACAACCAGAACGATTAAGTAAGAAGAGTAGAGCTAAAGGAAAATGCAGATGAACAGTAGACAAAAAGCAGAGAGTATATTCTTTTCTCAGTGATTATATGATGTTACAAATGATTGGGGTCTCCTTTATAT